TACACTTCCGTATTTTGCTATATATTCCACCCAAAATATTGATGTATTTAAAGGACTTACTGGTCGATCGAGGAACATTTTCGACAATTTCTGTACATTTGATCTGAAACAAATACGAGCAAAAGTTCGATAAAGCAAAACTTAATGTTAGTGACTTTTATATGTTCGTGAATATAAAAAAACTATTGTATTAAAATTTAAAATCTCATATCTGTTAATACGATTGTTACGATAATTTAATTTTAGGATGCAATTTTTAATTTTTATTGAGTCAAAACAAAGAAATTTTTTTTTTTCCCTTATTTAACAAACATATTTCCGAATACTCACCGATACGTAGGATCTTTCAAGATAGTATTTAACGCCAAAGTTAATTCTGCTTCAGTAACATTTTGTATGTTCTCGAGCGAAATAGCAACCTTTTTGCTGACGTAATTTAGAATGTTGACACGCTGATCGCCGAATAATGGAATACCAATCATAGGAATTCCAAAGTATATTGCTTCTTGCGTTCCCATACTTCCACCGTGAGTAATAAAGGCTCTAATATTTTTATGTTCTGCAAAATTGATTTTAACTTTTTTTATCGCAATGATATTAAGCAAGTGAAAATATATAGCATTACAGAAAGATACTTTAATATATCGCATTTGAATTTAATACATAGCAGTTTTTAAATATATAGCATTAAAGAAAGATAATTTAAAGAATGGAAAAGTATCTTTTTTTCCTGAGAAAATTATGCAAAAGATAAGGTTTTAGATTTCTTCTTGGTGAAAAATAATTTTTTGCCTTTAAGTATATCAAGGACCAAATATAGTAATGAAAATAATTTCTCAGAAGATTTATTAGTCTCATCGTGCAGATCTGTTAGTCTAATTTTTATTGACAATAATTACATACTTAGTACGGTTTTTTGTGGAAACCAAGATTGCGTCATGACATTCTTCGGTAATCCCGGGAGTAGGTCTTCTTTTTTTACGACTTTCATTAATACTCTAACAGGCGCGATTTTTTCAAAAGATGCATAGAATTGTTCGATTATTTCTTTAGGGAAAGTTTCGATTCTCACCATAGAACCGAATGTAAAATATACACAGCCATCTTTGCTCTCGTCTAACCATTTTTGTACTTCCTGCATATAATAAATTTCATTAAAAAAT